TGAGGGTCAAGTACCAGCGCAACGAGATCTGGAGCGAATGGAGCCGGACGCTGCGCTTTGGTAGGTGCCCGGCTCCCGGGCGGCTCCTGGGGCCATGTGGATACTGACCTGGCCACTGGGGGACCCTCTGACTCAGTCCCGCCACCTGAATCTCCCCGTCTGTGCTGGGAAGTGCTGCTGAGAGTCTGCCCAGGGCTAAGTCCTGCATGAGGCTGGCCTCTCGTGCTCCCGGATTCCCCGGGAAGGAGGCTCCCGTCAGGGTCCTGGAGATGAGATGACCACATCTATGCATGACACCTGCCAATCAGGGCGTCGTGGGGTGGAGACTCCTGCGGGGAACAGAGAATCTGGAGAATGGTTCTGCCCTGTCCGCATGATAGAATGCTGGCCTTGTCCTCACGGGGTCGCCAGGTTAGAGTCTGCAGTCAAAAGGGACCACAAGCCAGGGGACTTGAGAGCTGCAGAAATCCATGCTCTGCCAGATGCCTGAAACCACCCGGGCTGGTCCAGTCACTGGGGAGCCTTGCACCTGGACAGTCCACCATTCCACATTCATTCCTTTGGCTGTGGAATGATTGACTGATGGTCTCCATTTCTTTGGATGTAAGCGAGGTGTGTCAAGGTGACCATCCCGAGAAGGATCGTGCTGGGATTGTGCCCTTAGAGTGTTCCAAAGGGGCTCAGGACATTGGAAGAGCCCCTGGGGACACAGGTGACAGGGACCAGGGAAGGACTGACTCTCAGGTGAGGGCCACTGACCTTGAGCGCCAGCTTCCCCAAGTCCCTCGGACCCTGTGCTGGGGAATTCTCTCTTCTTCAGATGCAGCCCTGATTCCTGTCCCCAGCTGAAGACAGGAAGAGGTTGTGCGTAGAGCCCGGCTACTGGTCCCTCTTGACCCTCTGCTCTTCTTCCTCATCAGGCATCCCAGAAGAGGGATACAGCAGCATCCCTGTGACCCTGGTGGTGCTGGTGGTGGGGGCAGCCACCCTGTCCACGGTGGTCCTGATGTTCCTTTGCAAAAGGTGACTTTGAGTGGCGTTGAAACTATCCCACTTGGCAAAGTGGGTCAGACCCCCGTGACCACGGGCTGCGTGGCCGTTTAGACCACAGGAGCAGAGCAGGCAAATCCGCAGTGCTGACCAGACTAGGGTTGCTCAGGCCGGGACCAGGAGGGCACGGGGAGGGACTGCTCATAGGTGCGGTCTCCTTTGTGATAATTCGAATGTTCTGGAACTGGACAGAGCCCATGGCTGTCTCCAGGGCTCCTTATAAGAGGGCTGGGCGTGTTGCTCCGTGGTAGAGCACTTGCTGTGCATCAGCAAGGGCATGGGCTGCATCCCTATCATTGCAACAAAAACGGGGCTAGAGTGCCAATTACCCCATTTCTTCAATTCGCCAAATTTGCAAAGGTAACGCCTGCTCCGCCCCCTGCAATTCCTCCGTCCATCCCTGGAGGCGCTGCGGAGCCTAACATGCGCATCTGCCCCCGGGGGACTTAATCCCCGGATGTGGCCACTGCAATTCCTCGTCCGACCATGGGGGCGCTGCGGAGCCCCATCTGCCCCCGGCGACTTAATCCCCGCAGGTGGTTACTGCAATTCCGGAATCCGCCCATGGGGACCCGGATGTGGTCACTGCAATTCCTCGGTCCACCCATGGGGGCGCTGCAGAGCCGCACTGCACATCTGCCCCCGGCGGCATTCATCCCAGGACGTAGCCCCTGCAATTCCTTGATCCGCCCATGGGGGCGCTGCGGAGTCTCATGTGCCATCTGCCCCAGGCCACTGAATCCCCGGATGTGACCTCCGCAATTCCTCGGTCCGCTCATGGGGGCGCTGCGGAGCAGCCCTGCGCGTCTGGCCCAGGCGCAAGTCTCGCCTTGCGCGTGACAGAGGGGAGGGGTTTTCAAGTTGCCTGCGGTCTGCAGGGGTCACTGCACCTAGGGGGGTCACTTGCACTGTTCATGCGGGATTCAGACGTCATGGCAGCCCCGGGTACCTGCGCACACCCTGGCCAAGAGCTGTGCTGCGTGTGGTGCAAGGGAGGGACTTGTCCTGTGCCCGGGCTTCTCCCCAGGGAGGACGTCAATCAAAGGCGTGGGGCCCCAGGGGAGCACTGGAGGGGCTGGTCAGTCTTGGGTGCTTAGGGAGCCCAGTAGGTGCATGCACATTTGGCGGGGACTTACTGAGGATGGATGTCGGGGCGGGGCGCGGGACCCTGAGCCCCATCCCCAGCCCTGTTTTGCATTTTATTGAGAGACAGGGTCTCCCTGAGCTGCTCAGGGCCTCGCTGTGGCGGAGGCTGGCTTTGAATCCGTGATCCTCCGGCCTCAGCCTCCCGAGCTGCTGGGATGACAGGCGTGGGCCACTCGCCCGGCTGGTGCATGCACGGTTTGACTGAGTGACCCCCAGACAGGGCTCTGGAACTTCTCCTGGGGGTGACTCATCCCCGCTCCTGGGTGGGGCTCCTTTTCTCTGCGGAGCTGTCGCCCCAGAACTTGTGACAGGGGCATCCGGGTGCAAGAAAGCCCTCCTCGGCTCCTGCTCCTTGTAGAGCGACCCTGACGGGCAGCCCACGGGCAAGCCAGGTCCAGAGGGCCCGTCCGTGGGCGGAGCCGCGCCCCGGAGCCGGACGCTGCCCCTCAGGCTCCCTGTCCTCGGCCAGGTACTCGCTGTGGCGAAGGCTGTTCCCGCCCATCCCGCGGGTGAAAGGGGAAGTGACCAGCGACTTCGCGTCAAATCAGGTGGGTCCCCAAGCTGCAGCCGTGGCAGCCCTTAGCAAGGGGACAAGGGCAGCTTTGTGCCTTGGCTGAGGCTGCTAAGGGCCCAGCTGGACACCAGGAGCCCGAGACCCCAGAGACCCTGCCGCACCCACCACGGAGACCTCTGTGTCCAGCAAGAAGGTCCTGAGTGGCGTCGGGGGGTGGGGAGGGAGCAAGGTCCTCTGAGCTGGTGACCAGGGCATGCTGAGGTCCCTGGCTGGGCTCGGGGTCTCGTCTCTGACTCTCTCTCTCTCTCTCTCCCTGATGCTACTGTGACCATCTTCCAAGGTCCCCACACTGGGGGATTAACACAGTGGACACTGTCCATCACAGCTCTGGAGAAAGAAGGAGTTAGGTTAAGTGTCTGCAGGGTCCCTGTCCCCATTGAAAAACTCTCTAGGACGAATGGTGACCTAACCTCAAATTCCATGTAAAATCCCGACCCCAGGACCTTGAGACGTGCCTGTGGCTGGAGACGAGTCTTTGCAGAGGTGACGGAGGTGCAGTGAGGTCCCCGGGGTGGACCTTTGGGTCTGCCTCTGTCACAGAGCGCCCTGTGTTCAGGGTCCATCCACATCCTAGCCAGTATCCTTTTCTTGGCTGTGTAATATTCCACGGTGTCTCTGGACACTGTTCTGTGGATCTCTTGAAACACCGGTGGACACTTGGGTGGTTTTACACCTTCTGGCTGTTGTGGACAGTGCTGGTGTCAGACAGGCCTTCCTGGCGGGACAATAGAGGGTCATCTGTGGACCACCTCACCCGTGTGATTTCTTCTCCCTCTTAGATCACCTGGGTGGAGTCCCAGCCTCCGCCAGACTCCCAGGAACCCGAGGACGTCCTTGCCGTGGACGAAACACCGTAATTGGCCCGCGGACGAGCAGAGACAAGAGTTCCACGCCCCGTCCCTCTCCCAAAGGTGTCCCTTGTGTCCTGAGACGGGCTCTGACCCTCCTGGGGAGATGCTGAAACGCACCAGGTCCTCCTCAGCCTCTGCCTCCTTCCCCCAGGAAAAGATAAGCCGGGCGCCGCCGCTCACAGCTGTACTCCCGGATGCTTGGGAGGCTGAGGCAGGAGGACGGCAAGGTGGAGGCCAGCCTCAGCAACTCAGCGAGCCCCTAAGCAACTCAGGAAGACTCTGTGTCTAAATAAAAAAATTAAAATGGCTGGGGACAGGGTTCGGGGCTGAGCGCCCCTGGGTCCCCTCCCCGGCCCCCAAACCAGAGAGAAGCCGCGAATCGTAAACGGCCAATTAAAGATTTTAATTGCAAAACCTCGCGGGTTCGAGATAAGGGACTTTCAAAAGACTTCCTCCGTGTGAAGAAACCCCGGCTATCTGGCTGTCCCCGCGGCCAGCCGGACACCGGGAGCCCGAGACCCCAGAGGTCCTGTCGCAACCCCGAGGAGCCACGGCCTCCAGCCGTCCCTGCTGATAAGGGGTCGGGGGGTGACACAGCACTGAGGTTGGGACAAGGGACCGCGGAGCCGAGAGAGAAGTCCTTCTGGGAGACGGGAGCCCCCCGCTCAGGGAGGAGCCAGCTCCAGGGTCACCTGTCCCTGCAGTCCCTGCCTCCGCCTCCACGGGGCTCCTCCTCTGGGTCTGTGTCCCCTCCTCTGTCCCTTGGGAGGACACGGCCACTGCATGAGGGCCCCCTGCCCCAGGAGGAGCCCATCTCAGGGCCCTGCACTGAGCACCTCTGCAGAGATGCCTTGTCTCAATGGGGTCCCATCCCCAGGTCCTGGAGCGGCCATGTGTCCTGGGGACAGATGCTTTGACCTGGGACACGGGGTGGATTCCGGGTGATGCCCTCCTCCCCGTCCAGGTCTCCGAAGTCTCTCTCGCCCCCCGGGGTGCAGAAATGGCGGAGAGGGTGCTCACGAGGACACCGTGCACTGTGTGTCACCCTGGCTCCCTGGACAGCAGCCCGGGGACTGTCCAGGGGGCTCCTGGGTGTCGGCCAAGACCCAGGAAGATGGACGAATGGGACCTGCCCATTCGCAGGCAGCACCAGGGTCCTGGGCTTAAGTGGGGAGGTCCCAGGGTCCGTCATCATGGCCATGGGGACATATGGAGGAATGTGTCCCCCCAGATCGCGAGGGTGAGTCCTGCTGCCAGGCCTGTGGCCGGACGCGCTTTCACTGGGAAAGTTCTCTAGGGAAGCCCCTCACGCGGGGGAATCCCGCAGGAAACTGTGAGGTCCCAGAGGCCAGGCCCGCCTAAGCCAGGGGACAAGGACGGCCTCCAGTGCAGGGCCCTGAGATGGGCTCCTCCTGCGTCGGGTGGCCCTGGTGCCATGGCCGTGTCCTCCCCAGAGACAGAGGAGGGGACGCAGACCCAGAGGAGGAGCCCCGTGGAGTCCTTTAGTTAACCACCCCTCAGCCCCTTCACTGCAAAGTGACACGGCTCTGATCTGGAAGTTGTGGCTCCTTCCCTCTCCGCGGGGGGGAAAGCAGATTCCAGACGCCCACCTGTCCCCAACCGGAGCTTGGGAGACCGCCCCGGACATGGCCCTGCCTGGGACTGCAAGGCGACGTAGCTGGGCAGAAGCAAGCTGTCCCGGACCAGTGTGACTCTGGGTGAGTGGCCCTCGGCCCGTGTGCCCTGTCCTCAGGGCGCCGTGGCAGAGCGTCGCCCCTGGGCCGGGTCAGTGGGCTCCAGGGGCCTCCATCAGCTTCCCCAGGTGTGTGGGTCACCTTTTCTTTACTGTGACAAAATACCTGAGAAAAACGACTTTGAGGAGGAAAAGGTTTTTTTTTTTTTTCTTTTGTAGTTAAGACGGCATCCAAAATATGTCAGATATAATATAAATATGAAATATATACATAGCATAGAATATACAGAATAATATAATATATACATAAAATATATAATATGTATGATAATAAATAAAATAGCATCCAATCACCATAGAGCCAATACAACAGTAGACAATAATGTGATTTACTCAACGTCCTCTTATATGGTCTCAGGTCACGATATAGGGTCACCTAAGACACTGACACCGATCTCATTGCATATAAATACGTGTGACCGTACAGAGAGGAGCATCGAATAACAGCATGTCGAATGCAGCAACGCGTGATAATGTGGCTTATTAAATGACCTTTCAAAGAATCTCATGTGTATAATATATAGTCACAAAAAAGACAATATTTATGTCATTATATATGAATATCTGTAATATTCATATATATTATTTGATCTCCTTTTTATATACCTACATAAAAGGAGATCGAATAATACATCAAATATAATGATATATCATGTGATGCAGTTATATGTTTTTATATATTATATAATATTATATATTATATTCTAGATTATGTATGATTATATATCATATATTATTTTGTCATATATGATTATATATTGTTTATTATATATGATATAATATTATATACTATCATATATTATATATAATCATATGTTATATATTATATTATCATATGCTATATTATATATAATCATATTACATGTCATGTATGTTATATATTACACATTATATCTTGTAATATTACATATTATACATTATAATACTATATATTATATATTGTATTGTTATCTATTATATATTGTGATATTATATATTATATCTTGTAATATTATCTATTATTACATATCATATATTATATACTATTTTATTTATTATATATTAAATTATTATGCATTATATATCATACAATATATCATATATTATATCTTGTAATGTCATATATTATTTGCATCATAGATGACACAATGTGCGTGATCATATCGATGACGTCATCACATATGGGGGCACTATTATGTCATATATAAATAATACGCGCTGCATTACTGCGTATGAACAGACATCCTCATATAAGTGCTGGATAAATGTCACAGAGCCCGTCACTGTGACACTGCGATCGTCTATGATAACCCTGACAGACTGAGCCGGGGGCACAGACTCACGCCTGGGATCCCAGCCGCTCTGGAGGCTGAGGCAGGAGGATGGCCAGTTGGAGGCCAGCCTCAGCCGCTCAGCGGGAACCGTCTCTGGATACTCCACACGAGGCCCCGGGAAGCGGCTCGGGGCTGCAGCCGCTGGGTTAGAGGGACGCCCGAGGGTCCCCTGTCTGGGCGCCTCCTGCCTGCAGTCCCTCCTGCCCTGACCCTGAGGCCCTGTGACATCGGGCGTCGCTGGCTGTCCCTGGAGCTGGTGAGCTGGTTTCCAGGGGAACCACCGGCTGTCCCTGCCCGGCCCAACCGCCGGCCTGCACAGGTGCACCTGGCTGTGTCGAAACGGCCCTATTTTGGGTCCCCACGGCCCAGCTGCACCCCGTGGCCTCCACTGGCCCAGAGGCTCTTCCCGGTTCCTCCTTTCTGTTCCTCGTGGGCTCCCCACCCCTGTCCCTGGCACGTGCACAGCCCTGACCTGCCAAGGCCTCCGCCCCTCCTCCCCCAGCACGGGGGGCCTCGACCCTCCGTCCTGTCCCACACCAGCCGCCACAGCACACTTTAAAAGTCCTCCAGGGCTCCAGGTGGGCAGGGGGATTTCCCAACTGGACCTCTCCTGGCCGTGCTGGGGTCGCTGGGCGTCTTGGCAGGCAGCCCTAGGTGCTCGTGGGGTCCGGTTCCTTGGCACTGATTACCAAATAAGAAAATCTGGCCGTGCCTGGGATCCCAGTGGCACGGGAGGCTGAGGCAGGAGGACGGCAAGTTGGAGGCCAGCCTCAGCAAGGATCTAAGCAACTTAGGGAAACCCTGTCTCTAAATAAAACGGGAAAGGGCCGGGGCTGGGCTCCGTGGGGAAGCACCCCTGGGCTCCATCCCTGTGCGGAAACAAGGGGTGGGAGGAGGGACAGAGAGACGGACAGGACAACGGGGCAGGACAGAGGGACAGAAGAGCACAAGCCCCTTCCTCCAGTTCCCTGCTCTCCAACAGCTGGGGAGATCCCTGTGCCGGTCCCCGAGAGCCGGGTGACCCCTTAAGGTCTGGCCAATCTCCTATCAGAGCATCTGGCAGCCCAAGTGTGTCCCCAGGGACAGCTCAGCCTCCCCCTCCTGACGGCCCCTACCTGTGCCCAGGCCTGGCCCAGCCCACATCTCCCCAATGCCCAGCCCTGTGCATCCCTGGCCCCGCCCACATCCCCAGTGCCCCGCCCTGTGCATACCTGGCCCCGCCCACATCCCCAGTGCCCCGCCCTGTGCATCCCTGGCCCCGCCCACATCTCCCCAGTGCCCCGCCCTGTGCATCCCTGGCCCCGCCCACATCTATCAGTGCCCCGCCCTGTGCACGCCTGGCCCCGCCCACATCTCCCCAGTGCCCCGCCCTGTGCACCCCTGGCCCCGCCCACATCTCCCAGTACCCCGCCCCGTGCACCCCTGGCCCCGCCCACATCCCCCAGTGCCCCGCCCTGTGCATACCTGGCCCCGCCCACATCCCCAGTGCCCGGCCCCGTCCATCCGTGCCCTTCTCTGCCCAGGACCAGATTGTAAATGCCCCCGGGTGGCCAGTCATGCAGCGGGTGGCCGTCCACCAGCCCACGGCCAAGGTGTCCCCTCAGCACAAGCCATTTCTCCCCGTCTGCTGGATCATGGTTTGTGCACCGAGGGTCCCAGGCCTAGAGTGACCTGGCCACAGCACCCTGGCCTTTCAGACCTACTGTGTGCGTTGCAGAACGGCTGGATTCTTAAAAGGACACGCATCGCCCTGGAGGAGGGACAGCCTGCCCGTCCCCTGGGGAAGGGGCAGCTTGCATGTCCAACAGGGGCCGCCCACCTGCAGGATAGGTGACCAGGACAGGTGGCTGTCAAATAAGATTCCTGGGGATCCCGGAAAAAATAGCCACATGTCCTAAGACCCAAACCACAGGAGTCCAGTGCCCCTGGCCCTGGAGGGCAGAAGCTGGACCAGGGTCCCCGGGTGAGCTCCCTCCCCGGGCTCCAGGGGGCTCCTCCTGCCTTTCTAGCTCCTGGGCTCCAGGTGGCCCTGGGCTGGTGGCCCTCACTCCAATCTCCACGGGTCTCCTCCTCTGGGTCTGTGTGTCCTCTTCTGCCTCCCGAGAGGACACTGCCCCTTGATAATCCACGAGGGTCTCAGGTTAACTGCTCCTGACCCTCCCCCCATTCCCCACTCGGTCCAGGTTGGCGTGGACACTGTCCCCCCTGCGGGCTCCTGAGGGAGGCTTCAGGGTCGGGAGGAGGCCCGGGATCGAGGCCAGGGAGGAGGCTGGGGAGGTTATCTGGGACGTCTTTGCTGAGCTCAGGGACACGCCCGTTGCAACACAGTGAAGCCAAGCCCGGGTCAGCAGCCGGTGCCCGGCCAGGACCTGGCCTTGAAACCTGGCCGCTGCCTCATGGCCACGCAGGGCTCCTCCCGGGATGGCGGAGGCGGAGGCCGCGGAGGCCGGGCCCTGGGTGCTTATCAGGTGGCTTTTTTACGACGGCAGGAAGTTACTCAACCCCGGCGGCGAGTGCTGAGCAGTAATGATCAATGCCACAAAGAGGAACGCGGCGCGGGGACCCAAGGGGACAATGACACTCTGCAAGAAGGGAGCGACGTGCCTCGGGACAGCGCACCGCTGACCCCCAGGCGGACCTGACCGGGGCCTCCGGGAGGCGCCGCCCGCAGCCTACAGGACGCCCCAGAGGAACCAGCACGTTCGGTTTCTCTTTGTGGAGACTTTTTCCAGTAAACGAAAATCAAAGACAGCGACAGACTTGGGGCTGGGGACACCCGAGTGGGAGCCGAGGAGGAGCCGGGCTGTGCTGTCACCGGCTGGTAAGATGCGCTGACCCCGAGGGAGAAGGGACAGAGGGCTGGGGATGCGCTCCTTCCCACAGGGCAGACCCACGGCAGGCCACAGGACCTTTGGACGTGCCCTGGGTGAGCTGAGACCGGGGGCATCCTGGCCACCAGGGATCCCCGACAGGGCAGCTCAGAGTCTCAGCTCGGAGAAGCCGACTCGGTGCCCAGCCATAGACCTTTGGGTTTGGCAAGGTGACAGGTCAGAGGTCATTGTGACATTTCCCACCTTTTGGACCCAGCGTCCTGGGCAAGATGGACCGGCCCGTGCTTCTCCTCTAGTATTTCGGGGACGTGGCGCAGGTCCAGCCTGGGTCAAGGGACGGCCAGGACCTGTTTGGGGGCTGGGAGTGGCCTTTCACGGTGTCTGCCAGATTGTCAAAGGCAGGTGGGACACAGCTCATGGGCGGTGGCTTCCGCCTTCCCGGTAGCCAAAGGTGGAAATCATCCAACTGTGTCCCTGGGTGCAGGCATTCGGGCGGGCTCACATGTGGCCCGTCCACTGGGTGGAATATTAGTCAACCATGAAAAGGGATGGAGGTCCACCCGCAAAATGGAATATTACTCAACCATGAAATGGCATGGGGCTCTGAAAGGTGCTTCGTCAGACACGAAATCTGGAGAACATCACGCACAGGCCACCTAGTCCGTGATGGCCACGAAAATGTGATGTCCACGGGGGGGCGGTGGCCCACCACGCCTGTGATCCCAGCCATCTGGGAGGCTGAGGCAGGGGGATGGCTAGTTGGAGGAAACATTCTAAATCAGGCGACAGAAAGTGGTTTCAGGGGCTGCCAGGGGACCTGGGGGCGCACTGAGCCTCGCCTGACGGGCCTCCCTGGACCGCAGACGGCACAGGGCGGGATGTCCCCTCCATGGTCCACCCTTCACCCGGTCCCTGGAGGACCCAGCGACGGGAGGAATCTCAGCCAACCTCGCGGGGGACCCCCAGGGCTCGCACAGGCCGGCCAGGCAGCCTTCGGTCCACCTCCAAGGAGCCCAGCCTCCTCCTCCCGCCCCAGCCTCCTGGGGATCCCCCCGTGGAGTCCTCGGCTTGAGCAGCAGCCCCGGGTGCCACGATCTTGCAGCGACCAGCGTGTAACCAAGGGCGATAAGGAGGCTCACCCGGGAGGCCACCCGTGGAGGCCAACGGTGGAGGCCCACCAGGAGGCCCCGGAGCTGGCGCGCCCAGGGTCCCAGAGGCCGGCCAACAGGAGAGGCCCGGGGAGCGCATCTGCAGGGGAGGCCTCCCAGGGACCCCGGGGGGGGGGGACACTCCCGGCTCCGAGCGAGATCCCTCCGCGCTCGGTTACGGTCACTGTGCAGCCGGGAATCCCCGTCCATCGGCGCTGCCCGGCCTCCAAGTCCACTTCCTTCCTCGGCTTTGTCCTCCCTCCGCGTTTCCGGGTGGGTGCCCCCGAGGGAGGCTGCCGCCTTCCCGGCCTCGGCAGGGAGTCCGAGCCAAGAGCGCGCTCCTTCCAGACAGGCGACGCCCGCACGGGGCCGTGCGCACCGACTGGCCTCCGCGCAGGTGCCCAAGGAGCCCAGCCTCCTCCCGGCCTCCCCATCCAGGGCCCTGAGGCTTCCAGCCTCCTCACCCATGTTCCTAAGGAGCCCGGCCTCCTCCCGGCCTCCCCACCTGGGTTCCTGAGGTTCCCCCACCCAGACTCCTAAGGAGTCCTGCCAGCCCCAGCCTCCCCACCTGACCTCCCTGCTTGCCGACTGTCCCTTCTCTTGTGACCCCACCCCTGTCCCTCAGGAGCTGCGAGCACCATGGGGACCCTGTGGCTCCTGATGTTCCTGACCCCCGCCTCCTGCCTGCTGGACACCACCCAGGGTAGGCACGGGGGAGGGGGACAGCGCGTGGCCTGTGGGTTGGCCTCTCGGTGGGACCTCTGGCCGCGGTGGGAGGCAGGCGGAGGGCTCCTTGCATTTGGTGGGGAATTACTGGGGATGGACCTCAGGGACACGCGACCCCTGAGCCCCGTCCCCAGCCCTATTTTGCGTTTTACTTAGAGACAGGGTCTCCCTGAGCGGCTTAGGGACTCGCTGAGGCTGAGGCTGGTCTTCAACTCGAGATCCTCCTGCCTCAGCCTCCCAAGATGCTGGGAGGCGTCCTTCTAAGAGGGACTCTGGGGCACCGACGTGCCCTGACCACAGAAGCAGAAAGGGGAGGGGTGGACACAGGAGGAACCCTGAGGGCGGGTCCCCGGTGGCTGAACCGGGTTCCACTGTGACCCTCCAGAAGGAACCAGCCCTGCCCAACCCTGGGCTCTGGCCCCAGCTGACAGTGACATCAGCCTCCAAGAGGCCGATGAAGTTGCTGGTGAGGACGTCACAGCAAGAGTCCCATCTCGCCGAGCCCAGGCGCAGTGCCCTGATTCTCTGTCCCCTGCGTGACAAGGCTGACCAGGGTCTCCCTCCCCAGCAGTGGGCACCTAATGACGTCACTGTGGCGCCCGTGGCTGGGGGCTTCTGCCAGCTAGGGGTAGTGACCTCTCCAGGGACAGCTCCTACCTCCAAGGACAGGGCCAGGTCACCCGCGGCGGGTGGAGAGGAGAAAGACCCCCTGTGTCCCCTAACGCCAGCTGGGGACATCGCAGGTCCAGAGCCGCCCATCAGGAACCTGAGGATGGACGCGGCCCGGAGCCACCTCACCTGGGACGTCAGCGCACCTTCTTCCACTATTTACTGCGTCACCGACTCCGACCACATCCAAGAGGTCAGCGCGGCCCGCACCCACACGTGACAGGTCTCCACCCACCACGGGGACGGAAGGCACCCAGAACCCCGGGTCTACGCCCGAGCCACCACGGGTGGGGGACAGGTCACTTAGAGGCAGCGAGGCTCAGCTGCCTCCGGGGACGTCCAAGAGGTCACGGGGCAAATGACAGCCCCTCACGGGTCTTCTACGGTGGCCGTGGCCAAGTCCCTCAGCCCAGGGACCGCGAATGGCCGGCGGGTAGTGTCCCCCGTCCTGGAGGCTGTGGGTCCCAGGCCAAGCCACCCCCCTGCGTCCGTGTCTTCCCCCAGGCCCAGGACGGCACCTACTGCAGGTACGAGACGCTGTCCTTGTGCACGGTCACCAACTACACCGTCACCGTGGACCAGCCGCCCTTCGCCACCTGGATCCTCTTCCCTGAGCCAGGTCAGCGGGGCCTGGCGGGAGCTGGACTCGCAGGATGGCGGCCTCCCACTCCTCACCTCCTGCTCCTCCACCTCCTGCTCCTCCTGCTCCTCCACCTCCTGCTCCTCCTCCTCCTCCATCTCCTCCTCCTCCATCTCCTCCTCCTCCTCCTCCATCTCCTCCTCCTCCTCCATCTCCTCCTCCTCCATCTCCTCCTCCTCCTCCTCCTCCATCTCCTCCTCCTCCATCTCCTCCTCCTCCTCCTCCTCCTCCTCCTCCATCTCTTCCTCCTCCTCCTCCTCCTCCTCCATCTCCTCCTCCTCCTCCATCTCCTCCTCCTCCTCCATCTCCTCCCCCTCCTTCTCCTCCTCCATCTCCTCCTCCTCCTCCTCCATCTCCTCCTCCTCCTCCTCCATCTCCTCCTCCTCCTCCTCCATCTCCTCCTCCTCCTCCATCTCCATCTCCTCCTCTTCCTCCATCTCCTCCTCCTCCTCCTCCTCCTCCTCCTCCTCCTCCTCCTCTCCTCCTGACACCCTCAGAGGGTCACACACAGAATTCATTTCTTTGACCTTGAAGTGGGAGAGAGGAGAAATGGAGAAGAGAATCGTGGTGGGCCGGGGATGACCCAGTGGTTATGCAAGGGGATCATGGGACCCTGTGGGATGGACCCGGGTGTCACTGTTTGCAGCTACCAGGGACAGGGACCAGTGTCTTGAAACGCCTTCCCCTGGGGGAAACACCGAAGGTCTGGTCAGGCGTCTGC